CTGACTGTGACATGGTTCAATTCTCTAGTATTTCAAAAATGTAGACTTTGTCAATTTCCAGTCAATCTAACACAAGCGTTACTTCAACTGCAAACTCTATAGAACATGAACTGAACTGAACTCTGATATCATGTACATGCAACTGACAAACAAGCATGTTGAAAAGATATATAAACTTACAGCCTACAGTCTTGCTTGTTTTGTGAACTGACTATTCTATCTGCTAAGAACATTGGTCACTGAAACACAAATCGCCTCAACAAAGTCATAACATTAGTTATTGTTGCATAACATGAATTGGGAAATTTGTTATTCCAATTTAAGAATATTTACTGACATTTGCTTCTGACTTGTGGCCGAGTGTCAGCCTATGAGCAGGTCGAGGTGAATCCTGGTTAGTCCAAGAATAGCGAACATCCAGAGGGACTAGTTTCTGATTCTTCCAAAATCTGGCTATTTTACATAAAGCACTAGCCCGAAATGAGCTGGATTTGACCAATGATGCCTGCCCGTGAGTAGCCACCAACAGTGAAACCAGTTTTCTTGATTAGGCATTTTTTTATCTATAGAATTGTACAGAATCCAGCAGATTTCATGGTAATGTGATGGGTCTAGGTGATTATTCCCTATAGTAAGACAGATGGCCACAGTAGAAAGGACACCTATCAATCTTAATAATGTCTGAGGAGACAGTATTGGGTTACAAAATAAAACACGATAACTTGACTTTCTGCATAGAATCCCAGAAGACAGTCACTAGTTAACCCCACATGAATGTCCCAGTAGTTATTTCAATTACACTTGATACTTATTATCATTATTGTGAAACATGAAACAATACCATTAAGGCATTAAGATATTTATGCTTACCTCATGTGTTGAGACATTTCATGTAGATACGTCATAATACGTGTATAGACATACGCCAGTATTTGTATGAAATTCTCTATGTTTCATGTGGCCAGCTAACAAGATATTCTTGACAATCAATTTGTGTTTAACTTGTATCAAGGTTCCAGATAATTTGTTCACTATTGAATCTTTACTCAAATGTTATCATTCACATTGGGTATTGATAGTTTTCATTTGGTATTCAATATAGTCCATTGGGCGTCTTCTGGCCAGTGAGAAGACTTCTTTTACAAAAGTCTGTGTGAATGGCCGTTTCATGGGACTTCTGATTTGTATCTGTTTGCGGCCACAAGTGTGTGACATGTCGCATAAACTCTTGATGATATACATGTCTAATTACCAATTATCGTGGCCTAGCATCTATTTTCATGCATTATTCACTGAAGAAGAGTTCATTTATGTGTGATATGTTGCCTGTTGATATAGATCTTCAAAGAAATACAGGAACGCAAGTCAAAGAGAATACATCGTAGCAGTGGGACAGACGATGCATCGTGATTTGTTTACTTCTTGATACAAGTATCGATCAGAGTCACACACTAAGTAAAGAAGTAAAAAAATATTTCTTGTTACCTTAAATGTTTGCCTTAATAATTGTTAAAGAATTACTAATTAGTTGTGTTAATGTAAATATTTTCAACCATTGCACCATACTAGACACTGCCAACTGTAAATCATCAGTGTGCCAGGTATTTGGCCATCCTGTCTAACAAATAGAGGTGAGGTGAGGTGAAATTGGGTTTAACGTCGCGTCCAAGATTATTGCACTTATATAGCAACGTGCATGCACGTGTATGTGTGTGTGTAGCTGCTTGTACTAGTCCGGACTGATGCCGATTTATAGCGCTAGCTCACTGAGATACCATGCCGCAGTTAAACATGAATACTGACTCCGAGCCAACCAGTCCTTGTTTTAGCCCCTTAATGTCGAGCGCCAGACAGGGTAACAGCAAGTACAATCTTTTAACATCTTTTTGTATGACGCGGCCGGGGATCGAACCCCGGACCTTTCGCTCTCCGGGCGGACACTCTACCACAAGACCACGGAGGCGGTCTCTAACAAATAGATGGCTTACACACCACAGATAAGAGTGAGTGAGTAAGTGAGTATGGTTTTATGCTGCTTTTAGCAATAATCCACCAATACAACGGCGGGGGACACCAGAAATGAGCTTACCACATTGTACCCATGCCAGGAATCAAACCCGAGTCTTCGGAGTGACGAGCGGAGCACATGCAAGTATTGTAATATGTTTCAGATCGTGAGGAAGGTAATGTGATATATATCGGATCTCACAGTTGGTGTATCATCTCAGCCCTGATACACTGGGTGTTGTTATATGTTAGTCCCACTTTACTGATAAGCCACATGGCAGCACATTTAGAATACAGAATACAGTACCACAACAAGATTATTGCACTTATATAGCGACGTGCATGTACGTGTGTGTGTGTTTGTGTGGCTGCTTGTACTAGTCCGGACTGATGTTGATTTATAGTGCTAACTCACTGAGATACCATGCCGCAGTTTAACATGAATACCCCACTCAGACACAGTATACTGACTCCAAGCCGACAAGTCCTTGTTTCAGCCCCTTAATGCCCAGCGAGACAGGGTAACAACAAGTACCATATTTTAACGTCTTTTGGTATGACGCAGCCGGGGATCAAACCCCGAACCTTCCGCTCTCCGGGCGGAGGCTCTACCAGTAGACCACGGAGGCGGTCTGGATCATCGTAAGGAAAAAGGGAGGCATGAGCATGGCTAGTGACGACACAAGGGTGAGTTCGCTTTTGAATCAGTACTGAGTAAATGTAGAGGGTGAAAGTGGCTTGTGTGAATGTTCCAGGACAGTTTCCAGTAGCCAAAATATTTGACACTTAATCGTTTCATCCTTTGTATTCAACGTTTTTTGCTTGAAGAATATTAGGAGCTGCTATAGAATCTATAATAGCCACTAAACAGGTACCTACCCCAACACCAGCAACATTTGGATGTGTTCAGCGCCAATATAATATACCTAATAAACTGCCTTCTTGTGCATAATAATGAAAATTAATAAACCGAAAAAATAATATATGTATATTAGTTCCCATTTATAATCATTTTAGCCGATTGAATTACGAAAAAAGACAAAATAAAAAAGATATTGAAAATAAAAGTGCTTTCATAAACTAGCACTTGCTATAAAAAGTGCCGGTCTATATTTAGTAAACAAATATTAAAAACTCTCAACATCGCTGGGCATATTCCATGACATTGCGTACAGAGATGATAGATCACTGGGAGGCGCTTATGCACACTCAATGACCACTGACGTCACAGGGCATAGTTCCACGTGTGTGACTGGCAACAAAATACTACAATTTACGTCATAGGGTATTGTCACGTGTTTGAAAATTTTGTGGTACTGTATTCTAAAGATAGGCAGCCACATGGGCTATGTTTACATTAAGGTCAATGTCACTTAATGACTGAGAGTTGACATCATGTAATAATGACTTGCTACTACATCACTTATATTCATAGCACCAATTTTTGAACTCAGTTTTGATAAATATGTCTTAGATAATCCTGCAAAGTGCATGTAATTTCAGTAGTTCAGAGCTACAGATAAGCTGCGTATTTGCGCAAAATACTCCCCAAAAATATTCAAATACCAAATTACTTTCAATTAACTTGCGTACAGAAACGCATGTATTAAATGAAAAACTCAAATTTATAAAAACAGCATGTGTATATATACAGCAGGGTATGTATACCCAATGAATCTTTTTCAGCATGTGTACAATGGAGCTGATTTCCAAAACACAATTATGAGCTAATTTACTTTCTGAGTCAAGCCTATATATTTAGAACAGTTATATACATCTAAAACATTATATTATTATTTTTTTTTAATCTTAAAATGTTCACTAATTTGGGGGAAAACCCAATAGAGTGATCAATAAATTGATGAGTGAAAAAAATATTGGTTACCCAATGGAAAATGTAATGACCCCATTAAAATAGAAACCCTAGAGTAAAAACTCAATTGCTCAAAAAAGTTATGTTGAGCTCTGGCAGTTTCTGAGAAAACTTGTTCCCACTGCAGACACAACATACACAAAATAAAACAAGGAAACCTAAAAACTTTTTTTTCTAGAATTACCATACATGTAAAGGCACCAGTTCAGCTTGTGATTGATACATATGCAAAGTTTCACAATTAAATATTAAACTCTAATCAAGTTGAGCTCAGTAAATGAAATGTTATGGACTGAACAACAGCACCCATCCCAATATCCCCCTTCCATTTCATGGAACAAATATATGGAGTTCAAAACACTGTTCAACAGCTGTAGCAGTCTGAAGGGTATGACCATAACCGGTTAATCATTATTCTATACTGTGAGCTCCCATATTCATATCACATGTCTAGCCTACGGTCTATATAGATATTGGATTGTAGTTGCGTCACAAGCATAAACAACAATCAGCACTGAGAAAAGACAGCACCAATCCCCCCAATGATCAGTGACTGTGCATAGAAATGCAGACATCTATCAACTGTGTCTGTGTACATTGTTGAATCAGACACGTTTTACGGTGTCACCAGATATTTACCTTCTGACTTATCATTTATTTACAAACACCAAATTAAGTCTGTAACAGTATCAAACTTGGGATTAACTTACGATTACCTCGAAAAAGCCATTGCATTATAACAATAGTTATAACAAACAAAGAGTATGGACACACCTGCTTCTATATTTGTCGCTCGGGTGTCATTAACCAACGGGCAGTTATTACGACAGTGCAATAATGTTTTGTTACATGCTCAACAAAGTATACACGGAGATGAAACTGAACTTGCACTTAGTTACCACCGGATTCCCTGTGGATTTTATCCCTCTTCATACACAAATTGCGTCAAATTCAAATAACCCATCAATACACCTCTAAATGATCATTAATGTTGGTGCATCGTTTCCATCAAGTAATGGTATTTGGAACAACATAAACATTTGTTAGAATTTTCCTTTGACGGTTGAGACGAGGAAATAACCGTTGGGTTTGCGCGATTCACAACTCGGTTTTAACTTACATCTCTCGATGTTTTTTGTGTTCTTCGACCGGCTTTGCTTTCCAAACACAAAAAGTCAACCGGAGAGTCGCCATTATCCTTGTACTCTCCAGGGTGATGTCGTGTTCGCACCATATTTCACAAAATTTCTGTTCAGCTCATTCACTGGACTCCATCTTGCAAAACCGCGTAACGCCCTGTCAATCGACAAAGCGCGAGGTCAAATAGTACACAAAAACGTGTCCTTGACAATGAATAAATTCCTTATTAATGACATTTGCATAACTCTGATGGTGTGACGGTTGTTAGATATTAAATGTTAATATTAAATTCGTCTTGTAGAACAAATCACTCTACGTACCATCTGCATGAGGGTGACGATTATGATGCTGCAAATAGTCTTAGGTGATGGCGGGAAGTCTGTTCGAAAAATTATTGCGGAAAATTTTTCTGGGGACTGAACAGCTAGTGCATTACATTTAAAAACAATGTATTTTATTGCTCTCAGAAGTGATATTGATAAAATTGCATGTCACCAATTTGCATAAGTAGGACAAATATATTCTGCATTATGTTTCTTTGTCCATACTTTGTCGATATAGCGGAAACATGGATTGCGCATGGGCAGCCGGTACATCCTGTGTTATGGGTGCAAGATTGTCAACAAAGGTCTTGAACTCTTATCTTTTCTTATATTTGGGGGATCTACTGCTATTTTCGTGAACTGTTCTAAAGAAAGATATTTTACACAGTATTGTTGCCTAAAATAGGATAGTTTGTCAATGTTCATTGGTTATTGTAAAGTGGATTTTTTGGTTGTACCACAGGAATTCGTAGCTGTACACAAATAAACATATTTTTTCTTGAGCCATGTATTTCCGAGACCCTTGGGAATTAGTAGCTGAATGCAAATGAACATAGTTTATGTTGACCCATGTGTCCTTCGACCTCGTAGGATCGTGGACCCTAAATAAGTATTAAATGTCCATGGTAGGATACATGGGTAAATAGCAAATACGTTTAGGCCTAATAACAGCTGGTTCGGCCTAATTATTACGAAGTGGCCATGACATCCAGCTGTCAAAACATATATTTTAAAACTCGATTTCAATTGATTGACCCAGATGAAAGTAAATATTAATATTGCATTTTGTCAATTTCTCTCTAGTTTTAACAATTGTAAGTGTAAACAAATAAATAAATAAATGTGTGCCTTATGCAGAATTCAAACCACTGCAATAGTGAAAATTTACTGATATATTAATTAGACACAGAGTCTGGTAAATGTGTTAAACATCTTGACCTGTATAGTGCAAGTGCAAGAGGTAAGATTTTACAGAAATGCTAATTTACATGATAGTTTATTTATGAACTTTTTTGTTTGGGAATTTCAGTCTTTTTTCATTTCTACACATGCATGTTTCCATTTGTAAGAACTCTAAATGTATACTTGCAGCTTAGATATGTTGGAAAAGCTGATTTAGAGGTTTATAGGACATTTGACCATGAGCAAATCTTTGACCCAAGCTAATTTTCTTCGATGTAGATAAAGACAGTACAAACATGTGGTAAAAACTTCATCATGGGATAAGGACTTGCTCACAGTCTGATTTTTCTCTTGAAGTGAGACAAATTGTCTTTTTTCACTCATTCGAGCCACAAGGATGTACTAACCTGATCTTACTAATGTAATAAACACAAAAAAGGCTAGTTTTCGGTCATTTTATCACGTTTGATAATTTCATGGTGATATTTCAAAGCTTAGTCACCATCCAATTTGACATTTCCAGTGGGACAAAACAACTCTTTTACTACCTCATCCTTACTGTTACAGGAAGCTATGGCTGCTCTGCAAGATGCTTTATTGGATCATTTCTGTCCTGACATTTCCGTGTGTGTCATTTCTGTTGATCATAGATCACCTTCTATGTTGATGGAATACTTTGACATTTGGGAATGTTATTACTGAAACCTCTTCATGTGAATATGAAATGCACAAAGCATCTTAGCAACATTTTAGCTAAGATATATTTTGTATTTATTGTGTACTGATTGAGCTGACAGTAAGACCAAACTAAACTCACTAAATCACTATTACATTTTTTTGTCAAACTTCTGTTGCTTGATAAAGGTGTTAGGATCTACACCGAAACGTCACACTAATTGTAATAAAGAAGTTGTTCATCCATAGAACTCGTCTTACTTCTGTTATGTACAAATGATATGTGTGATATGTATTCTTATTTCCTGTGGCTATAAATTCACCAAGGAATTTTAGTTTTCTTCATCCCATCCAAGTATCGTACAATATACCTATTCAGATCAACACATACCTAAGGTAATGATCAAACCATGTACCTTTGTCCCATGATCAAACCATGTACCTTTTTGCCATGATCAAACCACGTATCTTTGTCCCATGATCAAACCATGTACCTTTGTCCCGAGATCAAACCATGTATCTTTGTCCCATGATCAAACCATGTACCTTTGTCCCAAGATCAAACCATGTACCTTTGTCCCAGATCAAACCATGTACCTTTGTCCCAAGATCAAACCATGTACCTTTGTCCCAAGATCAAACCATGTACCTTTGGCCCAAGATCCAACAATATATCTTTGTCCCATGATCAAACCATGTACTTTTTTGCCATGATCGAACCATGTATCTTTGTCCCATGATCAAACCATGTATCTTTGTCCCATGATCAAACCATGTACCTTTGTCCCAAGATCAAACCATGTATCTTTGTCCCATGATCAAACCATGTACCTTTGTCCCAAGATCAAACCATGTACCTTTGTCCCATGATCAAACCATGTACCTTTTTGCCATGATCAAACCATGTATCTTGTCCCATGATCAAACCATGTACCTTTTTGCCATGATCAAACCATGTATCTTTGTCCCATGATCAAACCATGTACCTTTGTCCCAAGATCAAACCATGTACCTTTGTCCCAAGATCAAACCATGTACCTTTGTCCCAGATCAAACCATGTACCTACGTCCCATGATCCAACAATGTATCTATGTCCCATGATCAAACTATGGTCAGCGTACTTATTTTCAAGAATGTTCTGAATACATATGGTGACAACATGAAAATCTTGTCTCAAAAGTAAAACTTTTAACTAACTCTAAATTGGGAAAACAACATTCAGTTAGAGGCAGGACGTCAACCATTCTGAAGCTTTGTTTGTAAACAATAGCTGATAACCGCCAAGCTTACTCTGCTCTGCTCACCAAATAAAGCGAGAGAAGTTTCTGCTCCAGTGACCACACCGTGGGTGTAGGCCTATCACATGACCAGACCACACTTATTCTGAAATAAGAACTGACAGGCCTAAGCAAGCCTTTCAGTGCGCTTTACATATTATTTTGGATAATTGTGTAGATATACAACTGTGCCAGTGAGGTGTATGACCATGTAGTTTGACACATCAAACTGACCGTATATAGCTAGCTCGCTGTTGGGCTTTGATGGCCGAACAGAGAGAATACAAACACAAATGGAAGTAACAAGTTACATACATCATGATAACAAGTTACATACACCATGATAACAAGTTACATACACCATGATAACAAGTTACATACACAATGATAACAAGTTACATTCATCGTGATAACAAGCTCCATACACTATGATCACAAGTTACATACATCGTGATAAGTTACATATACCATGATAACAAGTTACATACTCCATGATAAGTTACATACACCATGATAACAAGTTACATACACAATGATAACAAGTCACATACACCATGATAACTAGGTACATACACCATAAGTTACATACACCATGATAATAAGTTCCATACACCATGGTAACAAATTACATACACCATGATAACAAGTTACATTCATCGTGATAACAAGCTCCATACACCATGATCACAAGTTACATACACCATGATAACAAATTACATACACTATGATCACAAGTTACATACATCGTGATAAGTTACATATACCATGATAACAAGTTACATACACCAAGATAACAAGTGGCATTATGTTTTGGTGTAACAAGTCCATGGTGTTCATAGTTTCATGCTTTATGTTTTCATTGCAGGAGGTCTTGCTGAATGTACTGAAGTGTTTAGTAATTTTCTATTCACTTTACTATGTTGTCAGCAGTATCTGCTTCGCAGCCTACAGGTAGGACATATCAGCCACAGAAAATATTCTGAGTTTCTTGATGTCATTCTTAGGGATGCAGGATACATTAGAGGGGGCCTCATTGCCTTTAGTCGTCTGTAGTTGTAGAGGGGCACTGCTGGCCTACTGGTAGTCTCTGGTCTCATCACCCCAAACGCTATGATTCACTGTGACGGGTTTGTCAGAAACCAGTTATTCTGGGTTTGAATCCCAGGATTACCATGCTTGTGCTTCGAGGTTTGTCAGCACCAAGACCATGCTTGTGGGTTTCATGTTTAAGACCTGCACCACCTCATGTTTTCACAGCGTTCTCATGACTCAAACTCACTCACTCACTCGCTCACTCATTGTGTATATATAGAATAGAGGACTGAATACACCGTTAGGGATGAAGACATGATGACTGTTTTGTTATGACTTATAAATATTTCACACATGCTGTTTCTGTCATTTGTATGCAATTATCTGTTTCTGTTTTGTGGTCGTCCACAGACTGGACACATTCGATGGCAAGATCCCATTCGATTTCCACACCTGGATAGACCTGACCCAATGCTGCAATAACTACACATCAAAACAGATGGGTAAGCAGAGAGCATTACACACATTAGATGGGTAAGCAGAGAGCACTACACACAACAGATAGGTAAGCAGAGGGCATTACACACAACAGATAGGTGAGCAGAGAGCACTACACACAACATATAGGTAAGCAGAGGGCATTACACACAACATATAGGTAAGCAGAGAGATTGACATACACAACAGATGGGTAAGCAGAGAGCATTACACACATTAGATGGGTAAGCAGAGAGCATTACACACAACAGATAGGTGAGCAGAGAGCACTACACACAACAGATAGGTAAGCAGAGAGCATTACACACAACATATAGGTAAGCAGAGAGCTTGACATACACAACAGATAGGTAAGCAGAGAGCATTACACACATTAGATGGGTAAGCAGAGAGCACTACACACAACAGATAGGTAAGCAGAGAGCATTACACACAACATATAGGTAAGCAGAGAGCCTGACATACACAACAGATGGGTAAGCAGAGAGCATTACACACATTAGATGGGTAAGCAGAGAGCATTACACACAACAGATAGGTGAGCAGAGAGCACTACACACAACAGATAGGTAAGCAGAGGGCATTACACACAACATATAGGTAAGCAGAGAGCTTGACATACACAACAGATGGGTAAGCAGAGAGCATTACACACAACAGATGGGTAAGCAGAGAGCATTACACACAACAGATGGGTAAGCAGAGAGCATTATACACATTAGATGGGAAAGCAGAGAGCATTACACACAACAGATGGGTAAGCAGAGAGAATTACACACAACAGATAGGTAATCAGAGATCATTAAATATACAACAGATGGGTAAGCAGAGAGCATCACACACAACAGATGGGTTAGCAGAGAGCATTACACACAACAGATGGGTAAGCAGAGAGCATTACACACAACAGATGGGTAAGCAGAGAGAATTACACACAACAGATGGGTAAGCAGAGAGCTTGACCTACACAACAGATAGGTAAGCAGATATCATTACATATACAACAGATGGGTAAGCAGAGAGCTTGACTTACACAACAGATCGGTAAGCAGAGATCATTACATATACAACAGATGGGTAAGCAGAGAGCTTGACCTACACAACAGATAGGTAAGCAGAGATCATTACATATACAACAGATGGGTAAGCAGAGTGTTTGACCTACACAACAGATAGGTAAGCAGAGAGCTTGACCTACACAACAGATAGGTAAGCATATATTATCACATATACAACAGATGGGTAAGCAAAGAGCTTGACCTACACAACAGAGAGGTAAGCAGAGATCATTACATATACAACAGATGGGTAAGCAGAGAGCTTGACCCACACAATAGATAGGTAAGCATATATTATTACATATACAACATATGGGTAAGCAGAGACCTTGACCTACACAACAGATAGGTAAGCAGAGAGCTTGACCTACACAACAGATAGATAAGCAGAGAGCTTGACCTACACAACAGATAGGTAAGCAGAGAGCTTGACCTACACAACAGATAGGTAAGCATATATTATTACATATACAACAGATGGGTAAGCAGAGAGCTTGACCTACACAACAGATAGGTAAGCAGAGAGCTTGACCTACACAACAGATAGGTAAGCAGATATCATTACTCACAACAGATGGGTAAACAGAGAGCTTGACCTACACAACAGATAGGTAAGCAGAGAGCTTGACCTACACAGCAGATAGGTAAGCAGATATCATTACACACAACAGATGGGTAAACAGAGAGCTTGACCTACACAACAGATAGGTAAGCAGAGAGCTTGACCTACACAACAGATAGGTAAGCAGAGAGCTTGACCTACACAACAGATGGGTAAGCAGAGAGCTTGACCTACACAACAGATAGGTAAGCAGAGAGCTTGACCTACACAACAGATAGGTAAGCAGAGAGCTTGACCTACACAACAGATAGGTAAGCAGAGAGCTTGACCTACACAGAAGATAGGTAAGCAGAGAGCTTGACCTACACAACAGATGGGTAAGCAGAGAGCTTGACCTACACAACAGATGGGTTAGCAGAGAGCTTGACCTACACAACAGATAGGTAAGCAGGAAGCTTGAACTACACAACAGATAGGTAAGCAGAGAGCTTGACCTACACAACAGATAGGTAAGCATATATTATTACATATACAACAGATGGGTAAGCAAAGAGCTTGACCTACACAACAGAGAGGTAAGCAGAGATCATTACATATACAACAGATAGGTAAGCAGAGAGCTTGACCCACACAATAGATAGGTAAGCATATATTATTACATATACAACATATGGGTAAGCAGAGACCTTGACCTACACAACAGATAGGTAAGCAGAGAGCTTGACCTACACAACAGATAGATAAGCAGAGAGCTTGACCTACACAACAGATAGGTAAGCAGAGAGCTTGACCTACACAACAGATAGGTAAGCATATATTATTACATATACAACAGATGGGTAAGCAGAGAGCTTGACCTACACAACAGATAGGTAAGCAGAGAGCTTGACCTACACAACAGATAGGTAAGCAGATATCATTACTCACAACAGATGGGTAAACAGAGAGCTTGACCTACACAACAGATAGGTAAGCATAGAGCTTGACCTACACAGCAGATAGGTAAGCAGATATCATTACACACAACAGATGGGTAAACAGAGAGCTTGACCTACACAACAGATAGGTAAGCAGAGAGCTTGACCTACACAACAGATAGGTAAGCAGAGAGCTTGACCTACACAACAGATGGGTAAGCAGAGAGCTTGACCTACACAACAGATAGGTAAGCAGAGAGCTTGACCTACACAAAAGATAGGTAAGCAGAGAGCTTGACCTACACAACAGATGGGTAAGCAGAGAGCTTGACCTACACAACAGATGGGTTAGCAGAGAGCTTGACCTACACAACAGATGGGTAAGCAGAGAGCTTGACCTACACAACAGATAGGTAAGCAGAGAGCTTGACCTACACAACAGATAGGTAAGCAGAGAGCTTGAACTACACAACAGATAGGTAAGCAGAGAGCTTGACCTACACAACAGATGGGTAAGCAGAGAGCTTGACCTACACAACAGATAGGTAAGCAGAGAGCTTGACCTACACAACAGATAGGTAAGCAGAGAGCTTGACCTACACAACAGATGGGTAAGCAGAGAGCTTGACCTACACAACAGATGGGTAAGCAGAGAGCTTGACCTACACAACAGATAGGTAAGCAGATTTCATTACACACAACAGATGGGTAAACAGAGAGCTTGACCTACACAACAGATAGGTAAGCAGATATCATTACACACAACAGATAGGTAAGCAGAGAGCTTGACCTACACAACAGATGGGTAAACAGAGAGCTTGACCTACACAACAGATGGGTAAGCAGAGAGTTTGACCTACACAATAGAAAAGTAAGCAGAGAGCTTGACCTACACAACAGATAGGTAAGCAGAGAGCTTGACCTACACAACAGATAGGTAAGCAGAGAGCTTGACCTACACAACAGATAGGCAAGCAGAGAGCTTGACCTACACAACAGATAGGTAAGCAGGGAGCTTGACCTACACAACAGATAGGCAAGCAGAGAGCTTGACCTACACAACAGATAGGTAAGCAGGGAGCTTGACCTACACAACAGATGGGTAAGCAGAGAGCTTGGCATACACAACAGTAATTTTGTAGCATGCAGAATAATGTGTTTCGGGGCATGTTCTGATTGTTTATCCAGCTGTGATCTTTGACGTTTCCATGTCAAAGTTGTCTTAGCTCAAATCACTTGGTACATGTCAAAGATAAAAGTTGGTTTGTGAAAGTTGGGTTGGTGTTATAATGTTGATAAGACTAGGAAGGTATAACATTTTGTTGTTCAGACTAGGAAGGTATAACATGTTGTTGTTCAGACTAGGAAGGTATAACATGTTGTTGTTCAGACTAGGAAGGTATAACATGTTGTTGTTCAGACTAGGAAGGTATAACATGTTGTTCAGACTAGGAAGGTATAACATGTTGTTGTTCAGACTTGGAAGGTATAACATGTTGGTGTTCAGACTAGGAAGGTATAACATGTTGTTGTTCAGACTAAGGAGGTATAACATGTTGTTCAGACTAGGGAGGTATAACATGTTGTTCTTCAGACTAGGAAGGTATAACATGTTGTTCTTCAGACTAGGGGGGGCACGGGTGGCCCAGTCGTCTAAGGCGCCGCGATTCGCTGTGCAGAGTTGCGTCCCTTGGGCACGCCAGAAACCTATGATTGTGGGTTCGAATCCCGGTTCGCCCCGATTATGTTTCTAGGTTTGTCAGCACCATACCCGTGCTCGTGGGTTTCACCGAAGTGGTAAACGTCTGAGACCTGCATCACTCCGGGCTTTCCTCCCACATTAAGCTGACACGCCGCGATATAACTGGAATACTGTTAAAAGCGGCGTAAAACCCAACTCATTCACTCACTCACTCTTCAGACTAGGAAGGTATAACATTTTGTTGTTCAGACTAGGAAGGTATAACAAGTTGTTGTTCAGACTAGGAAAGTATAACATGTTGTTGTTCAGACTAGGAAGGTATAACATGTTGTTGTTCAGACTAGGAAGGTATAACATGTTGTTCAGACAAGGAAGGTATAACATGTTGTTGTTCAGACTAGGAAGGTATAACATGTTGTTCAGACTAGGAAGGTATAACATGTTGTTGTTCAGACAAGGAAGGTATAACGTGTTGTTCAGACTAGGAAGGTATAACATGTTGTTCAGACTAGGAAGGTTATAACATATTGTTGTTGTTTTTAATAACATTTTGTTGTTCAGACTAGGAAGGTATAACATTTTGTTGTTCAGACTGGGAAGGTATAACATGTTGTTGTTCAGACTAGGAAGGTATAACATATTGGTGTTCAGACTAGGAAGGTATAACATGTTGTTGTTCAGACTAGGAAGGTATAACATGTTGTTGTTCAGACTAAGGAGGTATAACATGTTGTTCAGACTAGGGAGGTATTACATGTTGTTCTTCAGACTAGGAAGGTATAACATGTTGTTGTTCAGACTAGGAAGGTATAACATGTTGTTGTTCAGACTAGGAAGGTATAACATGTTGTTGTTCAGACTAAGGAGGTATAACATGTTGTTCAGACTAGGGAGGTATTACATGTTGTTCTTCAGACTAGAAAGGTATAACATGTTGTTGTTCAGACTAGGAAGGTATAACATTTTGTTGTTCAGACTAGGAAGGTATAACAAGTTGTTGTTCAGACTAGGGAGGTATAACATGTTGTTGTTCAGACGAGGAAGGTATAACATGTTGTTGTTCAGACTAGGAAGGTATAACATGTTGTTCAGACAAGGAAGGTATAACATGTTGTTGTTCAGACTAGGAAGGTATAACATGTTGTTCAGACTAGGAAGGTATAACATGTTGTTGTTCAGAATAGGAAGGTATAACGTGTTGTTCAGACTAGGAAGGTATAACATGTTGTTCAGACTAGGAAGGTTATAACATATTGTTGTTGTTTTTAATAACATTTTGTTGTTCAGACTAGGAAGGTAAAACATGTTGTTGTTCAGACTACAAAGGTATAACATGTTGTGTTCAGACTTGGAAGGTATAACATGTTGTTGTTCAGACTAGGAAGGTATAACATGTTGTTGTTCAGACTAGGAAGGTATAACATGTTGTTCAGACTAGGAAGGTATAACATGTTGTTCAGACTAGGAAGGTATAACATGTTGTTGTTCAGACTAGGAAGGTATAACATGTTGTTGTTCAGACTAGGAAGGTATAACGTGTTGTTCAGACTAGGAAGGTATAACATGTTGTTCAGACTAGGAAGGTTATAACATATTGTTGTTGTTTTTAATAACATTTTGTTGTTCAGACTAGGAAGGTATAACATTTTGTTGTTCATACTAGGAAGGTATAACATGTTGTTGTTCAGACTAGGAAGGTATAACATGTTGTTCAGACTAGGAAGGTAAAACACGTTGTTGTTCAGACTAGGAAGGTATAACATGTTGTGTTCAGACTTGGAAGGTATAACATGTTGTTGTTCAGACTAGGAAGGTATAACATGTTGTTCAGACTAGGAAGGTATAACATGTTGTTGTTCAGACTAGGAAGGTATAACATGTTGTTGTTCAGACTAGGAAGGTATAACATTTTGTTGTTCAGACTAGGAAGGTATAACATGTTGTTCTTCAGACTAGGAAGGTATAACATTTTGTTGTTCAGACTAGGAAGGTATAACATGTTGTTGTTCAGACTAGGAAGGTATAACATGTTGTTGTTCAGACTAGGAAGGTATAACATGTTGTTGTTCAGACTAGGAAGGTATAACATGTTGTTGTTCAGACTAGGAAGGTATAACATGTTGTTGTTCAGACTAGGAAGGTATAACATGTTGTTCAGACTAGGAAGGTATAACATGTTGTTCAGACTAGGAAGGTATAACATGTTGTTCAGACTAGGAAGGTATAACATGAGGATCATTGAAAGAGGCAAGGGGACTCATCTTCCATCTGTGTTGTGAAGTTACCTTACTGCTGTGTTTCTAGTGAACCTGATCTCGATGGAGGTGACGTACGCTGTGAGTGGCCTGGGGTACAGCTGTGTCAGCTACCACTGGGTGTGGGACTACTCCGTCACCACCATCATCATTCACATCCTCCTCTGCAGCGCGGGTGAGTCCATAACATTCACTGCTGTTTGAATGTAGAAGACATTCTTTGGCCTTAATCATGGGGAGATATGTGTGAAGACATGGCAATTCAATGGCAGACCTGTTGTAAGAGAAACAGATGTACTGTCCGCGAGACAGGAGTTGATTCAAGGTTAAATCCCTAGAAATGTAAACATAAGGATTTCAGCATCTATGTAAATAATTTATAAAAAGTTTGCAAAATTTTAACTCATCCATAAGACATAAAAAATCAGTGGCCAAAAGTTATGCAGACAAATATAAGTTTAAAAAATCATTCTTTTCACTGAACTTCTGACTATGGAAATTAGTCAGATAAAACGTTTAGGTATTGAAATCAACATAAAGAACAGTAATATGTGCCAATTCACCAGAACTATGGCACACCAAATGGGTGCAAGCTCCTCACATCGATAGTACGTTCCCAGAGCTCTCTATACTATCGCTGCCACCAGTCAAAACTCCCGACTGTGAATAGGTGGCCACAACCATGCTTGGAGTTGAACTCGCAACCGAATGACTGTCATGTTTACAAACAAGTGACGACTGTCGTGACGCCTAATACACTTATCGCTGCTAAATTACTTTCTTCGTTTGTCAATTTGAATTTCTGTTTCATTAAAACTATCGTGTTATAGATACAGTAAGAATGTAAGGGAGAAGTTGGTGGATTTTCCGTTAGTCTGCAATCTAGAACCAATTTGATTATCAAAACAACAAAGTAAATTCATCTGGAAAACATGGTCAGTCGTAAACCTTTTCAAATTGAAATATGATGGCATTCCCAAAGACATAAACAAAAGTATAAACGTTACTACATATGGGGTTGGAGGGCAAATTTCAAGATTCTTGTAATGGCTGTGCCCACACAGGTGGCAGCGATGTTACCGAGAGTGTAACGAAGGTGTCACGCGCTGGGAAGGGGCTTGCAACTTGTGTAAAAGGGAGGTAACTCTGAATTTGCACCTGCAGCGATAGAGCATGAAACATTTATCATCACAGCTCGATATGACTGGAGTAGTTTCAGACAGGTTCACCAGAAGACGTGCTTGGTATTGTTTTGTGTCTGACAGGTTCACCAGGAGACGTGCTTGCTATTGTTTTGTGTCTGACAGGTTCACCAGAAGACGTGCTTGGTATTGTTTTGTGTCTGACAGGTTCACCAGAAGACGTGCTTGGTATTGTTTTGTGTCTGACAGGTTCACCAGGAGACGTGCTTGGTATTGTTTTGTGTCTGACAGGTTCACCAGGAGACGTGCTTGGTATTGTTTTGTGTCTGACAGGTTCACCAGGAGACGTGCTTGGTATTGTTTTGTGTCTGACAGGTTCACCAGGAGACGTGCTTGCTATTGTTTTGTGTCTGACAGGTTCACCAGGAGACGTGCTTGCTATTGTTTTGTGTCTGACAGGTTCACCAGAAGACGTGCTTGCTATTGTTTTGTGTCTGACAGGTTCACCAGGAGACGTGCTTGGTATTGTTTTGTTTCTGATATTATAAACCCTTTTTGTGCTTTCTGCTGTTTAACCCTTTGGATGCCGAGGTTTTTTTCTGACTCACATTTTCCTGAGATCGGAAAAGTGAAGGTTGAGCGAGAATTGCGCTCACGTGGCACTGGATCTACCTCTGGCTATAAAATTACTATACTATATGTATATTAAATTTCCTTAACTGCAAACATTACAACGGTTTTAAAAAAAGACACTTCTAAGTGTTGACCGAGAATTTATTCTACCAGGAAAAACAGTAAATTTCTCCGCTTTTTATTGTACACCGATAAAAGTACTGTGTGACGATTTTTTTATTTAGAATCGTTACGGAAATTGTGAGCAAACAAAATACTGCCTTATATCTGAACGACATAACTACATATCAAATGGAGTTATATGTGTATGCATAACGACATACATTCAATGACAAAAATAGCATGCCATAAATGACAAAAAACTGATTTTTCTCTTATAACGTCAAAAGGCGACAGAGAGGTTACACACATACAAAGAAAAGGGGGCATAACTCTGCTATGCTCAGCACCAGTTAATTGTAACTCAGGTCACTTGGTGAGAATTAGCTGTGGGTAAGGACAATATATTTTCGTGGTGTTTTGTTCACGAGGAAACCAAACTATTTCTACAAAAATATCGATATTGAAACTATTTACATTTAGTTATTAAAAAAAACGCACAAGAAATGATGAAATCGTACTTCATAAAAAAGAGGTAATAGAGAAATGGATGGCCCTATCTAAGCTATAACTTAGTCCTTAGATTCCAACATTCTCCTGATTGTGTAAGTGTAATTTGACTAATGTTGCATCATTATTAATGGAGCACTAGCCTTACCGTCAAATGTAATGAAATACCAAAAACATAACACCATTCTATTTGACGTCATGGCTGGTTTTATGTCTTTGATAACGTCAGAGAAAGACGACACTGGTATTTTGATTAATATAAATCTCCCCTAATTTTCGTTCATGGTATGGAAAATCTCAATGTGTAAAACGGTATTTGAAGCTTTTTCGACACGACATAAAATGACTGCTTTCACCAAGTAAATAATGTCTTGAATATGTAAACATTTAGATAGTTTATCGTGTATCTTATTGGACAAGACACGCAGCTGTTTGGCATCAATGTACATAATGAAATACCCAAAACAATATTTCAAAACAACCAAAATTATATTCAATATTGGATATATCTGTTCATTATTATGTTATTATTTCTCTTCATCTCGTCTCAGAATTACACAATAAAAGATGAGAAGAAGCTCTATTCCTATAGAATTATCAGGATAATTCCTGGAGAAATAGAGTAAACAGTTTAATATCCTGTGATCACAATATTGAAAAAAGAATGAACCCATTGATTATGAAAAACGAGAGGAATAATTCGTGAATTGTTTGTGACTAACGCGCACCTGGCGAATCGTTAGATATCACTGTTCTGTGTATCAAACAGCATAAAAAATATCATTTTGAACATTGACAAATATCCAAAGTGAAATTAATTGTGTGAAAAAATTTATAAAAGATATGCAAAATCTACATCATACCTGAAACTGTAAACAGCATCATACAGTGATCGTGTGCACTCATTCAAGGACCTTCACCTGAGAGAAATGACCAAATATGTACAACAATGTTGACGTATGACATCACTAACTGTGACCGACAAAATGGCGTGTTCACTGTCAACAGTACGCAGAATTTTAAAAGGGGACTTTTGTTGATTCAGGGATCGTATATACATAAATGTGACATGAAAGAAATCAGAAACATTCTGACAATGTATGTACTGTTATTTGTTGTTATAATTTGCATTGAAACAAACGGAAATAGTCAGAAATTCTGATAAATACTGTTGTCGTTGTGCGTGATTTTGCGTCAGTCATGGCGTCACACAGGACGGTAACTTTGACAATTTCTGTTGAAAATATCAAATCATTGAAATATATCTATTTTTAAATTCCTTAATTCTTCCTACGATTCTCATCCCATGCATATTCTGAAAATGTTGAGCCATTATCTTGAACGAATAGACGAATGGATAGCTCAAAATAGGAGAAAATGCTACACTGTAAAATTTGTATGTTGCTTTGTTTACATATCAAACAAGTGCAGTTTTTCGAGCACAGCATTCGTTTTCACACCTAACTTATTTTGCTTGATTTTATCCAGCCACTTTGTATTGGTGACAAAGACCATTGGTCAATTGATTCTAAAATGTATGAGGAATTCAAGGATGTATGTATCGCATCTAAGTTTGAAATATACGGGATGTTACAGACGTCTCATAACCGGTGTACCTGAAACGTGATTTTGTAAACACTATCCAATATGGCGGAAAGTTCACTTCGGTGTTCGTGTTTGTGTATTTTCCAAAACATTCTAAACGATTCTAGGGTTATCGGAGACGTTTTGGAATGATCATTGGTGATTTCATAAAAGACAGATACCCGTGATCACTAATATGCTATTTTTGAAATTCATTTCTCCGAGTAAATATCTAAAACTTTCAAAACATGCTGTAAATAACGCCGTGAGTGGTGATTTAGTAATGTGTAAAAAATGGTGACATTTAAGATGTACCTAATTTTCTGAGGTCATTTTCAGTACTTTTGCTTGGCCTAAAATGCCAGTGGATGATATCACTGAATAGGGAATTTCCCACCTTATGCAAAACTGTGAAGTGTATTTGTGTGAGTGATGTATTTTGAAATTTATTCGACTTCAAAGTTAGGGTTGTAGAGGAGGGACATATATGTCCCTGTGGCATTCAGGGGGTTAAGCTTTGAAACATTGTTAAGAGCAATTTATCTTATGATAAACAATTTTGTAACTGTTTCAGCAGTATCAGATGCATTTCAGTAGGAATAAACTGTGTAACTGTGAACCTGTGCATGTCTGTGTTGTTCCATAATTCACACAATGTGCTGATGTTGTATAAAATGCAGCACAATGTATGTGTCACATACGTCCATGCACTCACGAATGTCCAAAATCTGTCACTGTCGCATGTCTTCAAAGTGGCCACACATACGTATCGCGGTACACGTATTTACATCAAATCATGTCTAAACTTCTTGACTATAAATATTTCAGAGCAGGTTCAAAAGCTAGTTGTAGACTCATGTGTGCAGTGGCTCTTTGTAATAGTGAACTTGAAACTCTAATTACAACACATTTTGCAATATCTGACTGACAAAAACACTGGGGAGTAATAAAGTAATACTGGGTAAGAGATTTCTTTTAGCAAGTGTATCATCTTGTATTGTATTGTCACATGAACACTCAGGATGCACGGGTGTACCGATGTATTGTTTCATCCCTTGGTATCCCTCTCTCTCTCGTCCTGTCCATGAGACACAAGTCAGAGAGGAGAAGGCTTCAACTGCCCACACCTTGCTCGTAATTCCAGCATTCAAGAACATCCCCTCATGAAACTTCCAGAATGATGTAGTCTGTCTGGTGTTTTCAACAACAAAGGGAGGTAACTCAATCACACTCCAGGTGCAGGTTGGCCACCAGATATTGTACAAGTGGTTTATGTAATTGCTTCTGCTAACAATCATAAGATATCGCAATACAGTGATCTGCCACATAACAATATGTTTTGCTTTTGTCAGTGATGCTGAACTTCCCGGTGAACTGGTCATGGTGGATCTGTTTAGGTGAGAGTATTTTACATATACTCAACAACAATAGTTCCTGTGACACCAATATTTTAGTGTATTTTTCAAACAATTAAAGTTTGGTTTTCAATATTGTAGTACATGTATGGAATCAAGTCACAAAAACGCAACTGCTACAGAAAAACATGCATTCCATGCAAAAGTCGACTTTTATGCAAGCCCCATGCATTTCACTATCCAAGAATGGGTATGAAAATATGTGCGTTAACTGGATTTCATATGCATTGTTTAGCATTGTGCTGACAACAACCACTCAGAAAACCCACAAAATTATGCAATTATTCAACAATACGAAATGCAACGCCTGTCCGAAAATAAGCGTCTGCGAGCCATTTGTATGCTTGAAGCAGGATCGAGTCAAAGTGATGTTGCAAGACAATTTAACGTCCACAGAAACACGATTTGGTGTTTATGGCAACGTTAGCAACAGACGAATGCAGTCAGAGACCATCCTCGGAGTGGCAGGCCACGCGTAACCAATAATCGACAAGACAACTGGATTCGAACAACACACCTACGAAATCGATTCCAGCCAGCAACAGTGACTGCAAGAAGCATCCCTGGCCTTCGACGAATATCTTCACAAACCGTACGTCGTCGCCTCAGATGTGCAGGGATTGTCGCCAGAAGACCCACCAGACGACCCATTTTGACAGGAAACCACCGTCAAGCACGTCTACAGTGGTGCAGACAGCGTCTACGCTGGACAGCCATGCAATGGGGACAAGTTCTATTCACTGACGAGTCTCGTTTTCACCTCAGCCACAGCGATGGACGGATTCGTGTGTACCGACGTCGAGGTGAACGTTACGTCAATCATTGTGTCATGGAAGAAGATCAGTTCGGGGGTGGCAGTGTTATGGTATGGTGTGGGATTACAGCAAGGGGACCCATTTGATAGTGGTAGAGGGAAATCTCAATGGACAGCGCTACTGCGACGAGATTATCGGCCCTGTTGTTCTACTGATTTTGCATCGTCATGGCCCAGGCATTACCTTTCAACATGACAACGCCCGGCCTCATATGGCTCGACTTGTTCAGGATTCTCTTCAACAAAACAACGTGAATGTCATCCCCTGATTTCTCACCAATCGAGCACATGTGGGATGAGATGGATCAGCGCCTTCGACGTCAACCACGTGTTCCACAGACACTCCAGGGACTTCGAAACATGCTCCAGCAGATACGGACAGATATCCCACAGGACTTTGTGCGACGCCTGGTCCATTCCATGAAACGAAGATTTGTTGCTTGCATTGCAACCAGAGGTGGACACACACACTATTGATTTGTAAATTGACATTTTGGCATGTTCATGTTTTTTATGAAATCACGCATTTTCTGAAGTCAGTATGGCAAATTAAACCATTTGAACACTTACAGGAGTCTTTTATCTGTTGCAAACCAAAATTGTTTCAGATTTGGGAAAAATCATAACTTTTCTTTAAATCTTATTCAATGTCACAGGAACTTTTGTTGTTCACTATATATGCTTTGTTGTTTACATTGAATAAGTTACTGACTGCAGTAATGTTTATTGCTATTATAAGTGAGGACATATCAAGTTGTCATAATTCTATTCAGTATATTACCTCATGGTGCCCTGTTGCTAATGTTATCTGTAACTTTGTCTTGACAACGTGTCCCCGTGGGGTTTGGGGATGCTGGTCGTAGAAGGCGACAAAAGGAGTCAAGTGGTCAGACTCAGTGACTTGATGTAATGTGTGTCATCGCACCCTGAGGGCATGGATCACTGGATTGTCTGGTCCAGGCTTGATTATTTACAGACCGCCGTATCATTTGTCTGGGGCGTTGTCATCATTTTGCTCTGAAACTTTGTTCCAATAAAGCTGAAACTTGGCACACACCGGCCATGTGTTAATAACATGTTTTTGATTAGATATGAAATGATATAGAATTGAAAGCTTCAGTGTATTTGGTACTGTGATTGTTGACCAGTTCCCCATCTGTTGTCAGGGTGTGGACTGCTGATGCAGATTGGCCTCGGGGAACTGGTGGCGCTGGTGAGACAACGGAAGAAGCTGGCTCGTGTTACACTGTCACCTGAACAGGAACCTATGAACTTCCTCTACAGAAGACTGTGATCCTGGCATAAGCAAGGGACACAACTCTGCACTGTAGAATGTCCCTGTATCTGTCGGCTGAAACAATTCACTGAGGCCACTAGAGGATATGTCTGTGATACTGTGTTTCATTAAAGGGGTAAACATGTAAGACCCGCATCACTTCGGCCTTGTCTGCCTTGCAAGGCTGCCATGATGTGAGAACTGTAGAGCCAGCTCCCTGTAGTATGTAACCCACCATGCTGGTCTGGAGTCAGGTCATGGGAATGCAGTATTTGATACAGCCTCACATGATCAGACTTCAAAGATCAAATGTCTATCAGTATACATCAGTGCGTTCACTAGCAGATACGTCAGTGATATACATCAGTGTGTTCACTAGCAGATACGTCAGTGATATATATCAGTGTGTTCACTAGCAGATACGTCAGTGATATACATCAGTGTGTTCACTAGCAGATACGTCAGTGATATACATCAGTGCGTTCACTAGCAGATACGTCAGTGATATACATCAGTGCGTTCACTAGCAGATACGTCAGTGATATACATCAGTGCGTTCACTAGCAGATACGTCAGTGATATACATCAGTGTGTTCACTAGCAGATACGTCAGTGATATACATCAGTGCGTTCACTAGCAGATACGTCAGTGATATACATCAGTGCGTTCACTAGCAGATACGTCAGTGATATACATCAGTGCGTTCACTAGCAGATACGTCAGTGATATACATCAGTGCGTTCACTAGCAGATACGTCAGTGATATACATCAGTGCGTTCACTAGCAGATACGTCAGTGATATACATCAGTGCGTTCACTAGCAGATACGTCAGTGATATACATCAGTGCGTTCACTAGCAGATACGTCAGTGATATACATCAGTGCGTTCACTAGCAGATACGTCAGTGATATACATCAGTGCGTTCACTAGCAGATACGTCAGTGATATACATCAGTGCGTTCACTAGCAGATACGTCAGTGATATACATCAGTGCGTTCACTAGCAGATATGTCAGTGATATACATCAGTGTGTTCACTAGCAGATACGTCAGTTATATATATCAGTGTGTTCACTAGCAGATACATCAGTGATATATATCAGTGTGTTCACTAGCAGATACGTCAGTGATATACATCAGTGTGTTCACTAGCAGATACGTCAGTGATATACATCAGTGTGTTCACTAGCAGATACATCAGTGATATATATCAGTGTGTTCACTAGCAGATACATCAGTGATATATATCAGTGTTCACTAGCAGATACATCAGTGATATACATCTGTGTTCACTAGCAGATATGTCAGTGATATATATCAGTGCATTCACTAGCAGATACGTCAGTGATATATATCAGTGTGTTCACTAGCAGATACGTCAGTGATATACATCAGTGTGTTCACTAGCAGATATGTCAGTGATATATATCAGTGTGTTCACTAGCAGATACGTCAGTGATATATATCAGTGTGTTCACTGGCAGATATGTCAGTGATATACATCAGTGTGTTCACTAGCAGATATGTCAGTGATATATATCAGTGCGTTCACCAGCAGATATGTCAGTGATATACATCAGTGTGTTCACTAGCAGATACGTCAGTGATATACATCAGTGTGTTCACCGGCAGATACGTCAGTGATATACATCAGTGTGTTCACTAGCAGATACATCAGTGATATATATCAGTGTGTTCACTGGCAGATATGTCAGTGATATACATCAGTGTGTTCACCGACAGATACGTCAGTGATATACATCAGTGTGTTCACTAGCAGATATGTCAGTGATATACATCAGTGTGTTCACTAGCAGATACGTCAGTGATATACATCACTGATTTGTCAAACAATACATAGTGATACAGAATGAACCTTACAATGAATTGTATCATTGAATTGTTATTGTAGTGAATTGTTTCAGCCTCAGTGTGTGTAAATCTTTGATGATATTCTACAACATGTTATATGCAGAGTAGAATGGCAGGTGGTAAAAGCTGATCTTGTTTTGTTAGGGTTTCACTGAATATATACTTGTGGAGACATTTTACCTAAATGGGCAGTGAAGCATGACAGACATGACGGACATTAACAATGAGATTAACAATGAGTAGATGGATTTCATCGTCTTTCCAACCATGTGCCTGCAAGAATTGTATATGCTTATTTATTTTTCTACAATGTTAAATTGATATTTTGCTGTAATATGTACATACATGTACTTGAGAAAAGGACAGTTCTCTGCCTTGTATGTCCAGGACATAGTACTTGTCTAGATGTTTGACCCACAGTGTGATACTTGTCAAGATAGGTGATGCATCATGTATTCTACAGAGACTTGTGATGCAGTAGTAAACACAAATGGTCAGTGTTATATGTATGATAATTGGATGTGTATTGGAAGGCAGAGTGGCTCCACGTTCAGCAAGTCGTGTGATCCTGGGGCCGCATGGACTGAAGGAGTGTGACAACTGATCAGGGTAGAGACTTCTGTGTTCACCTCTCACACACACACACACACGCACACCACATACACACACACACACACACACACCACACATACACACACACCACCACACCCAATCACACCACACGCACACCACACACACACACACACGCATGCACACACACCACATATACACACACACACACACCATACACACACACGCACGCACACCACATACACACACACACACACACCACATATACACACACACCACCACACCCAATCACACCACACGCACATCACACACACACACGCATGCACATCACACACACACACGCACACCACACACACACACACACACCACATATACACACACACCACCATACACATATACACAAACACGCACACACGCACACCACATACATATACACACACACACACCACATATACACACACACCACCACATATACACACACACCACACACATACACCACACACATACACACACACACTCATACACACTGACATACACCTCACACACACACACACACACACACCACATATACACAAACACCACCACATATACACACACACCACATACACACACATACACCACACACACACTCATACACACTCACATACACCACACACCTCACACACAAACATTGACCTTATGAAGTAGGTATTTGTCGTGTTGTTTGTGTGAGTAGAAAAGAACTGAACAGGGTTCCTTGCTTGTGTATCTGCTTGTGTTTGAGAGGTGTACTTCATGTTGCCAGTACAACTTACATCAGCCATGGTCGTGGACTGCCAACACTATTTCATGTCCGACAGATGATCCGAAACTTTCAGTTGCAATAAGGTCATTCTATGTTTCCCAGAGTAAGAAAAATTAGATTATATTGTTTGTCTCAACATAAGAGTCATCAATTATTGTGTGTAAAGCGAAAGCTATCTGAGATTACCAAGCACAGGGTACTGATGCATGTTCATGTTGATAAGCTTCACGATTACAACTATAGGATTGAAGTAGCCAGTCAACATGAAGCATTATTCATACTCTCATTGAGGCTTCTGAAACTACTGACTGATGTGTGTCCCCTCCCTCTAGGAAGTGTCGAGCAATAGTCTCTAAGCTGATGTGATACACTGGCAGTGGTTGTGACCAGTCTTAATCCAAAGACCAAGATGCACTATTGACCTTTGTGGCCTTGCTCATTTCCTGGAGCTATCCTTCATCATGCTGTGTCCTCATCGTCCGTCAAACTGCCGATATGTGTTTACTGAAGTGTTTGCTGCTATTCCGTCCATGTGTTTACAAACATCAACATTTCTTATCAGTTTTTGTCCATTGGATATTTTTTGATACATAATAACATGGCACAATACTTATGTTTTACTTATCACATTTATTATTCTTGCTGTTAATAGAACTTTGATTATCCAGAATTAATACATGTTTTATTCATAACCTGTATAATTGTCCTGTTCACAGTGTTTGACTGAGACACTTGCCTGGTGGCCATGATGGATGAAACTATCGATGTCTGTAAAATATCAGCGACCAGGCGGCCTATTCACGAAGCAGTCTTAGTGCTAATATTGGCATAATGGTGTCATAGCAAAAGAATCTAAGCAAAGTCTATTCTTGAAGCGGTCTTAGCGCTAATATTGGCTTAATGGTGTCTGGCAAAAGAATCTAAGCTAAGTCTATTCTTGAAGCTGTCTTAGCGCTAATATTGGCTTAATGGTGTCTGGCAAAAGAATCTAAGCTAAGTCTTGCATGAGTTTCAAGGATGTAATGGGTATCAGTCATTTTCATCTTGTGAAAAGGCGTTGAAGATTGGTTTTAATTAAGACACTCAGAAGACTTGCGCAAATAGCCTAAGTCTATGTTAAATAAAATCAGTATCAATACGAATATTTAATCAACTGGCAAAGTGTCCAAAGGCTTTTACTTGTCCTTGTGATTGTTCACTAGCCCCAGTGGTAGAATGGTTATCTCACACTGCAGTCTTAGTCATAATAGGGCTTAAATATTGTCCATGTGACTATAAATCTAAATAAACTCACTCACTCACTCACACTGCAGTCAGAAATAATATCGTAAACAATATCAGTTGAATCATTTCCCTGTGGAGCATTCACAGTACTTAATGCCCTAGTTGAGCATTGTTGTTTCTAGGTGAAGCAGTGCGCGGCTATTGTCCAAGATTTGTTTTCAAATTATTTTGGTTGCAGGTGTGTTTTTAAACTGAATGAAAGAATGTGAAATGTTAGTCCCCGTATATTTCGCAAAAATATGACATATTTGCAACATCCTGCAACTGCGACATGGCTAATGCAACATTCCCTGAAAGCAAAATCGTTGTTGCACGTGTCGCAAGTTTGCGATCATTGCAACTGTATTTACGCATATTTCTTTATCTCATTTTCGTTTTTCCTTTGGCATCTTCCTTTCAAATTCTTACAGTAGTCTTCAATACTTGCTACATCTGTCTATAAAGGACAACAGCTTTACTGTAATATCCTTCACTGATCAATTGTGCATCACAGTAACATGAGGCTACATCATTGATCATAACATCAACATTGATCTTTAAAAGCAGTTAAATTGTTTTATCTTTTAAACTTACATTACATTTAATAAATAATAGTTATAAAATTTCAATCTTGGGAATTTCCTGAATAAATTGATGACGTCATTGGGAAACACCAAGCTTATTTTGCCTCCATCACAAAAGAGGTAAGATTTGTGACTTGTGTCGTGAGTAAGATTTGTGACTTGTGTCGTGAGTAAGATTTGTGACTTGTGTCGTGAGTAAGATAATGTGACTTGTGTCGTGAGTAAGATAATGTGACTTGTGTCGTGAGTAAGATAATGTGAAAGATTTAAGACCACTTCTGGCTCATAGGGCAGTCATAATTATCCCCCGCCCAACAAAGTTGGCGGGGTTATAGAAATGGGCTCTGTCCGTCCGTACATCCATCCGTCCGTCACGTTTCGTTTCCAGAGCATAACTCAGAAACCGTTCAATATTTTTTTTCTTCATCAAACTTTGCAGGTCTGTCAGGTACATGCTGAACTTGTGCCTTTTGCTATTTCGAAATTTTAGAATTTTTTATTTTTAATGTTTCCATGGCAGCAAGATGGACTTAGGTTCTGTGAGGGTAGGGTTCGTTTCCGGAGCATAACTCAAACCGTTCAATATTTTTTCATGAAACTTTGCAGGTTTGTCAGGTACATGCTGAACTGGTGCCTTTTGCTATATAGAAATTTTAGACATTTTTTATTTTTTACGTTTCCATGGCAGCAAGATGGACATAGGTTTCAAACTCTTCTTTTTTTACAATTTCCATGACAAGTTCCACCTCGGTTAAAAAAGGTTGCGGTTTGTTTAGATTTAATTATGTCATAAATTCTGCAACAGGGGCGGGGGATATCGCCACGTTAATGGCAAACTCTTGTTTTTATAGTAAGGCATTTAGTTTTGTCTTGTTTTGCTAAGACCGCTTCGTGAATAAGCTGTCAGATCGGTAGGTCACATCGATGCCACATCAGTGACCAGATCAGTACGTCACATCAATGCAACATCAGTGACCAGATTGGTAGGTCACATCGATGCAACATCAGTGACCAGATCAGTACGTCACATCGATGCCACATCAGTGACCAGATTGGTACATCACATCGATGCAACATCAGTGACCAGATTGGTAGGTCACACCAATGCCACATCAGTGACTAGATTGGCAGGTCACATCGATGCAACATCAGTGACCAGATTGGTAGGTCACATCGATGCAACATCAGTGACCAGATCAGTACGTCACATCAATGCAACATCAGTGACTAGATTGGCAGGTCACATCGATGCCACATCAGTGACCAGATCAGTACGTCACATCAATGCAACATCAGTGACTAGATTGGCAGGTCACATCGATCCCACATCAGTGACCAGATCAGTACGTCACATCAATGCAACATCAGTGACCAGATTGGTAGGTCACATCGATGCCACATCAGTGACCAGATTGGTAGGTCACATCAATGCCACATCAGTGACCAGATCAGTACGTCACATCAATGCCACATCAGTGACCAGATCAGTACGTCACATCTATCCATTATCAGTGACCAGATCAGTACGTCACATCGATGACACATCAGTGACCAGATTGGTAGGTCACATCTATCCATTATCAGTGACCAGATCAGTACGTCACATCAATGCCACATCAGTGACCAGATCAGTACGTCACATCTATCCATTATCAGTGACCAGATCAGTACATCACATCGATGACACATCAGTGACCAGATTGGTAGGTCACATCGATGCAACATCAGTGACCAGATTGGTAGGTCACATCGATGTAACATCAGTGACCAGATTGGTAGGTCACATAGATGCAGCATCAGTGATCACATCAGTACGTCACACTGATGCCACATCAGTGACCAGATCAGTACGTCACATCGATGCCACATCAGTGACCAGATTGGTACGTCACATCAATGCCACATCAGTGACCAGATTGGTACGTCACATCAATGCCTCATCAGTGACCAGATCAGTACGTCACATCAATGCCACATCAGTGACCAGATCAGTACGTCACATCGATGCCACATCAGTGACCAGATCGGTATGTCACATCCATGCCACATCAGTGACCACATTGGTACGTCACATCGATCCCTCATCAGTGACCACATTGGTAGGTCACATCGATGCCACATCAGTGACCAGATCGGTACGTCACATCGATGCCACATCAGTGACCAGATCGGTAGGTCACATCAATGCCACATCAGTGACCATATCAGTACATCACATCAATGCCACATCAGTGACCACATTGGTAGGTCACATCGATCCCTCATCAGTGACCAGATTGGTAGGTCACATCGATGCCACATCAGTGACCAGATTGGTAGGTCACATCGATGCCACATCAGTGACCAGATCGGTAGGTCACATCGATCCCTCATCAGTGACCAGATCAGTACATCACATCAATGCCACATCAGTAACCACATTGGTAGGTCACATCGATGCCACATCAGTGACCAGATCAGTACATCACATCAATGCCACATCAGTAACCACATTGGTACGTCACATCGATCCCTCATCAGTGACCAGATCAGTACGTCACATC